CGTCCTCGACACCCTCGGGGCCGTGGTTCCATTTGTAGGACCAGCTCAGCGCCAGAGCTGCTACACCTCTGCAGGTCCTCTCATGAACGCCCACGACAACCCTGCTGGGTGGATGTTTTTATCTTTAGTTCATGGATGAAGAAATACCTTCCAAAGGTCTCCCTCCTAATAAGTGACTGGGATTCCAACGCAGGGCTGTCCGACTTGGAGCCCCCCTGGCCCCCACGCCGGGCTAGGCCCTGGTTCCGCTCCAGCGTCCCGTCAAGGCTGGGGTGGCTGAAAGGGCTGGAAAGGACCACAAGAATCACCTTATTTCTGGGGTCAAGACCCCTTTCTAATTCATGGTCTTTTCCTATCTATGGAGAGTAGGTGGGTGATTCATAAAGTGGTTTTTTAATTTAATTCTTCAGGGACGTCTAAAAACGACAAACTCTGCTTGTGCACCTGTTGTGGTCCATTATAATGGTCTATGAATACATTTGTCTGCCCCGTTAGTCTTTGACCCGTTCCCAGGTGGAGACTTTAGGTCTGTTTTTATATTTTCAGTACCTAACACAGGGCCACGTACTGACAAAACGTGTTTGTAATATGAGTGAATGACTGACAATGGATGGATAGGTGAGTGAATGACTCACAATGGATGAGTGGATGGATGGGAGGAAGGATGGATGGGTGAATGGATGACACATACTCAAGTCCACACTTAATTACCCCAATTCTCAAATTCAAAAGTACTTACAGATTCATACGGATCCCTTTGTATGCATGTCACTCCCCCTACTCCACCCCACCCCCCAAAAAAACCTGGCTTGAGAGTATTGAACAGGTGGGAGATGAAGAATCTATTCTCATTTCCCCCCATGAACTCAAGGTGTGATCCTGGGCCAGCCACTTGCTTCCTCATCCGAAATACAAGGGTGTTGGATGTATGATATTTGAGGCCCTTTCCAATCCTAAATTTCCATAATTCTATGGTGATCCACCCACCTCAATCAGATTTATCTAAATAATCACACAAAAACACCACTTCATGCTGGAGAAACACAGTCATAATAAACTAAGCAAAACCAAATGCCCTTCAATATCCTGTTGTGAACTATAAAATGTCCCCTAAAATCACATTTTCCCCTTGAAACAGGATGTAGGAAAAATATTTTCCTATTAAATCCTTTTAAAGTGCAAAGGAAAGCATTTATTCTGTGATTTGCCATCCAACTCAATAAAAAGTCGCGGACTCGGTAGTCCTAATTCTGGGAGATACTGTCAGCAAGCAAAGGGGATAGGAGTCCAGGCTGGAAACCAAGATGCCAGGCCCTTCCTCCGTCGCCAAAGCCAGCGATGGCTGGACACGTTTCCTGGAGCAAGTGGCCAAGTGCGTCCCGAGCAGTTTATTTCTGCCATTATGTTGGGGAAACCAGTAAATGAGCTTTTACGAGGTGATTTATGAAACTCCTGGGGTGGACGAAGTGAGTGCTGGGAAGAAGTGGCACCACCTTCCAACCCTGTGGGGGTGAAGGGAGAGAGCGGACTTGAACTTTGGAAACTGTTAATTACGTTGTTACAAGCTGTGTCCTTTAAGATGGGCTAAGCAAAGTGGGACCGTTCCTCGGGAGAGGCAGGCAGCGCCAGAAGAGTTCAGAGGGACCCTTGTCCTTCCGGCGTGGGAAAGCCGCCTGTGGGAGAACCCTTTAGGGCAGTGCTCCTGTCTCCTTGATTTCTGTAGCCCCTCGGAGTGTTGCAAGGAGAGGCCCGGGACTGTTGCTAGAGAAATGGAAAAGCGTGGATCTCTTCTCTGTTCATCTGGGCAGACACGCCAGGAGCACAAGCCCAGCTCATGGTCATCCCACCTTTCTGTTGGGGGAGCCCCTGTGGTAGGCAGAAGGCGTTCAAATCCATACACCTGGCATGTGTGAATATGCTAATACATGGCCAGGGCTAATGGGGCGGCAGATGGAATGAAGGTTGGTCATCAGCTGGCCTCCAGAGTGGGAGGTTACCCTGGACCACCTGAGGGCCCCCCCCTCCCCCCCTCCCCCCCCCCCCCCCCCCCGTCATCACAAGGGTCCTTACATGCGGAAGAGAAAGGAGGTGTCAGGCTGATGGGTTGTAAGAAGGACTTGCCCCGCTATCGCTGGCTTTGGAGATGGAGGAAGGGGCCACGAGCCAAGAAAGGTGGACACCTTCTAGGAGCCAGAGAAGGCCAAGTGGATCCTCCCCTACAGTTTTCAGAGAGAGCGCAGCCCTGCCCACACCTTGGCTTCAGCCCAGTGATACCTATTTTGAGATTTTGACTTCAAGAACTAGAAGACAGCAAACTTGCATTGTTTTAAGCTACTATGTTTGTGCTAATTTGTTCCAGGAAACTAGCCCCAACCGTCAGAATATGTCCTGACAGTCTCGTTTGAACCTCATGACTCTGGATGCTGAGCCATAGCTGACTGGACCAGGGGCGGATGTCTGTCCCAAGCTGGGCCAATGTTCTCCTGCACGCTCAGAGTCTGGGCTTGGAACTGCTACAGCTGTGACGAGAAGCATATAAACTCAGGAGCTGACGGTGGCCCGTGTTCGGCCACGTGAACTGAGAACCAGGGAAGGCTGGTTTGCAGAGATAATCAAATTGAGGGAGAGAGAGATGGAGAGAGGTCTGGTAACGTTCTAGTGCCTAGCTCCCTCCCAAGGTGAAGTACAAGTATGCAGAACGGACCCCTTTCCCAATCCCTTCCTCCCGCTGACATGTGCAAAAGAGCCCATGTCCTCAGCTCAGAAACGTTGAGAGATCAGCTCTAACCAACTGAAAAAAATGCAGGCCGCTGGCTGTTGTCCAACAACCAGATGGCTCGCACTGGCTCTGGGGGGAGGTGGAAAGTGTATTTAGGAAGAAATTCCTGCTCATAGAAGCAGAAGTGGTGAATAGGTGTTTCTGTTTCTCAGACATTTTCAGACAAGGCTCGGAGAGGTAAAGTAACTCACTTAAAGTCACACAGCCAGTGAGCAGGGAAGCTGGAGTTCAAACCCAGATCGTTCAGTGTCCAAATCTCAAGTGTTTTTCGTTTGTTTGTTTGCTTTTCCTATTACTCATTCTTGGCTATTTCCTGGGATTCTTCTTCTTCTTTATTTTTTAAACTAGGAATATCTAGTGTCCAGAAGCTACAGGTCCAATTCGGATGAAGGTTAACACAACGGCCTCCCATTCCCTTCTGCAGCCTATTGCTCAGTGGTGTCCACTCTCTGTGGCTCCGGGGGAGTGCACACCAGCAGGCACTTGGTGCTCAGCGGCCCGTGGGCCTGTCTCTGCCTCATGTCCGGGCTTGCAGTTCCCAAGCAGGAATGATGGTGGGAGAAGAAGGCATCCAATCGTCTTGCTTTGGCAGGTATCTGGATATGGGTTTTATCAATCAAGATAGCCTAATTATGCTGCATAACAACCACCACGCATCTCCACGGACATCGAGAACAAAGGGTGCCTTCGCACGGCCAGCACACGTTCTCGGCTGGCTGTGCTCCATAGCATCTTCTCTCAGGGACCAGGCCGAGGAAACACAGGACTATTATGGGTTGTCATGGCAAAAGGTAAAGCCAGCAGTGGAGCACGTGGGATTTCTTAAATTTGCAACACATGCTGCTTTTTATGGCCAAGTCTGTCATCAACAGGTCTAGCAACTATCACCCTCTCCTGGGGAGAGGCCCCGCCGATGAGTGAACACAGAGACCACCGCAGAGGGTCTCCAGTTCCTATGTTATCATGGCACGTTCATGATTCCATGGGTCCAGAAAACTCACCTTTCCTGTGCTACCCCACGAGAATTCCCACTTCCGGGCACTGGGCACCTTCCATGCGGCAAAAGCCTGCCTTTCCCGAGGCAGCAGGGTCATCCAAGCAACCTTTCTAAGGGCTGTGACAGTGACTTCTGGGCAGCTGGCAGCTATTTCTCACCCACAGCACACGCCACTCATGGGTGGCAACAGATGCTCTTTCTGGCCGAGGCTGCACTGAAGGACGTCTATGAAAGTCCCCAAATGAGTCCACGCTGCCTGCATCCATCCCGATGGTGCAGAGGTGGGGCTGGAGGGGAACTCCCATGTGCCTTGCTCTCTTCCAGAGCAGAGCGCCTGGCCTAATGCATGAAATATTCTTACTTATGAAACCTCCGTTAGGTGCTACGTCCAACGGGGCCGTCCGCAGCATCCCTCCACCTGCTCTCCCTTTGCATCCATATCCCCTCAGCTTTACGGGGTTTCAAATAGTTATCAGCCCACTGTCAGCTGAAGGTCCCTGGCCCTCTGAGGTTAAGAGAATAAAATAGAAAGAAGGATGAAAGCGGAATCTCATAGCCCCAGTCTGTGGGGAGACGAATGGCCTCCCCGCTGACTTTTCTAGGGATAGCTTGCACTTCTGGTCACATGGGCCTTGGACAGCCTGATGTTTTGGTCTCACTTGTGTCTCATCTCCACAATCTTCTCTGCTCATGCAGATCCAGAGAAAACAGACCTTTGTTCCACCCTCCTGTTCCCAACCCTCCCCCCACCCCCAAAAAAAAAAAAACAAGCAAAAACTGCACCAAACACATACTCACATTGAAGGTTTGGTGTAGCTCAGCCCCCTCCCACTGAAAACCCTTCCCTATGCCCCGGCCTCCTTCCTGGGTCCTGGTCCCCCTCTTACCCTAGTTCACTCCTGTCCCTACAGTACCCAGAGCTAGTTACCGCTCTTCTGCTCTGCCCCAGCCTTACCTTCGCATAGGCAAAAACTCACTAGTGTCTCCATGACACAAGGGCCATTGATGCAATACAGAATCATTGGCAGGGATTTGTCATTTCTTTCTCACTTTCTCCATAGGCAGAAGGAAGCTGTATGGAGGAGAGAGGGGCGCGGGTGTGCGCATCTCGGGGTTCGGGCAGGCAGAGTGCGGAACCTATTTGCTTGCGTCGCCGTCGGCAGGCGGAGGCCGGAACCTTTGTGCTCGCGTCGCCGTTGGCGGGCGGAGGCGGGCGGTGCCGGACCGGTCCTCCAGCGGCCGGGTTCGCGCAGTGGTCGCCGGCTGCTGACGTGGGCCAGCCGGGTGCCGGGCTGTCAGTGCGGGGCGTGATGGCGGTAGACATCACACTCCTGTTCCGGGCCAGCGTCAAGACCGTGAAGACTCGGAACAAAGCGCTGGGAGTGGCGGTGGGCGGCGGAGTCGATGGCAGCCGCGACGAGTTGTTCCGCCGCAGCCCCCGGCCCAAGGGCGACTTCTCCAGCCGGGCGCGCGAAGTGGTGAGCTGGTTGCTATGGAAACGGCGGGCAGGCGGTGGGCTCGGGCCCGCGACGCGGACCCTAGAACCAGACCAGACCCTGTCCCACGAGCGAGTGTGATAGAAGCGCCTGGAGAACAGTGGTCCGAAGGGGGGACAGGAGGGTTCGCCCCCGGCAGCCGACAGCTGCCTCGGGAAGGGAACAGCCTCGATTCGAAGAATGGGGACGTGCATTGGGGAGCACATTTCCCTGGCGGGGGAGGGGTGGGAGTGGGGACGGGGGGAGACGCTTGGGAAGCTCAGTCCGCCAAGTTCTGGGGCGGCTTTGAGGGAGGGCGAGCTCGCTGTCGCCGCAGCCCTGAGCGCCGCCGGGGAAGCTTCCCCAGGTCCGCGCTTTCCTGTGGCTGCACTGACCACAGTGCCTCTGCCTCCAGGGTTTCCTCGTTTCCTGCTCCTCGCTCCCTCCCCGCCCCCGCGCTGAGGTCAAAGGTCACGTCCGCTGCCCTCTCCCTTCCCCTCGCCTCCCCGGGTAGATGAGAGCGCATCTAGGGATCACTTGGTCCGGAGGCTGGTGTGGGGTCATCTTCCCAAACACTCCACGCTGCAGCCATCGGAGCTGCTTTCTGTTCCCTGGACACGCGGGCGGAGAGCAGGGACCTTCCCCCGCAGGGCGGGGCCGGGCGGGCTTGGCCGAAGGACCCCGGGGTCCCACTCGGCGTGGCTCTGTGTACGGTTAGTATTGAGTGCAGATAGAAAGGAACAGATGGCCCCGGCCGGTTTGGCTCAGGGGGTAGAGCGTCGGCCTGCAGACTGAAGGGTCCCGGGTTCCATTCCGGTCACATGCCTGGGTTGCCGGGCTCAACCCTCAGTGGGGGGCGTGCAGGAGGCAGCCAATCAATGATTCGCTCTCATCATTGATGTCTCTCTCTCCCTCTCCCTTCCGCTCTGAAATCAATTTATATTTATACACACACACACACACACACACACACATATAAAATGAACAAATGGTTGTCGGTCTTCCCCACGAAACTCTGCAGGGGGAGAGGACGCTCTGCAAGGGGTGTCTGCCTTGGTCACCTCTGTATCCTTGGCACCAGGGGGATGTTTTTGGGTGGCCCCCCATATACACGGTTCGGTCTGGACTCTAAGAAATAAAAATGCAAAAAGGGATGTAGGGGCTCGGTGTGCGCTTGCGTCGGGGTCGTGTCTGCGCAGGCCCAGGATGCCCGATGAAACGTGGTTGTTATGGTTTAGAGCTGTCATCTGGAAAATGAATGGACTGTAACAAGAACAAGAAAACTTTCTGGGGTCCAGAGTAGTGATTTGCCATTCAGTGAGACCTAAATGGATCGTGTATTCCACAATCTCTCGTTAGTTTTGGGCCCTGTATAACCAGCCTGCTTCGAGATTGCTGGCGTCATTTCTAACCTATTCTTAAAAAAAATAAATTAATTAATTTTAAAAAAGAAATAAAAATGCAAAATGACAGAAGACGGTTCCGCGCTTTGGGAGGCGCAAGTGAAGCTTCCAATTCACTAATGTCAGGGTAAATCCACTTCTGTTAGGCACAGTCCGATACCTGGTACTCTGCAGACACTCATGTTTTTTAAATGAGTAGATGTGCATGAATGAAGGAGCGGCAGTTCGCAGGGGATAGTCAGGCATTGGCGGGGGCGGGGGTTGGCCAGATGTTTATTGATAGGTTTATAGCACAATTTAAAAGGACTGGTGGGGGAAACAAACGTATTCACCACGCAGTGCCATCAAGCCTAGCGGATGTGTCGGGCACAGAGGAAGTGTGTTCAGTTGTACCTGAGCGCCAGGAACAGCTGTTTAGGGGCGATGGTTCCTGAAACAAACCTTGAAAGAGGAGTAGTTGGTTCCGGGCCGACAGGGTGAAGAAGGGCGCCTCAGGCTGAGGAGAGTTATACACGAAGGTGTGGGGACAGGTGACCTTATGCTGGTTTATATATGCCCCGTGCATGTCTACCCATTATATTACGAACAGATTAGTAATGATATTTCAAATTTTGCTTTATAAGGGAGAAACTTACATCTGAACAACTGCAAACAATGATGAGCTTGGTTAGTTTAACTTACTTGGACTGTGGGACCGATGGGGACCCTGGGAGTGGAGAGAGGACTAGGACTTGGAGTTAGAAGACTTACATTTGAAACTGGGTCCTGCCACTTAGAAGTGGGTGACGTGGACAATCCTGTTACCTGAGCCTCGTTTTCCCTTCCTATAAAATGGGCATGGTAATACTGGAACTGATAATCAAATCTTTAGGCTCTTATGAGATTGCATGTATCATAAAGAACCATATCCAGTGAGACTGCGTGTATCATACAGAACCATATCCAATGAGACTGCGTGTATCATACAGAACCATATCCAATGAGACTGTGTGTATCATACAGAACCATATCCAGTGAGACTGCGTGTATCATAAAGAACCATATCCAGTGAGACTGCGTGTATCATACAGAACCATATCCAATGAGACTGTGTGTATCATACAGAACCATATCCAGTGAGACTGCGTGTATCATAAAGAACCATATCCAGTGAGACTGCGTGTATCATACAGAACCATATCCAGTGAGACTGTGTGTATCATACAGAACCATATCCAATGAGACTGCTTGTATCATACAGAACCATATCCAATGAGACTGTGTGTATCATACAGAACCATATCCAATGAGACTGTGTGTATCATACAGAACCATATCCAATGAGACTGCGTGTATCATAAAGAACCATATCCAATGAGACTGCGTGTATCATACAGAACCATATCCAATGAGACTGCGTGTATCATACAGAACCATATCCAATGAGACTGCGTGTATCATACAGAACCATATCCAATGAGACTGCGTGTATCATAAAGAACCATATCCAATGAGACTGCGTGTATCATAAAGAACCATATCCAATGAGACTGCGTGTATCATAAAGAACCATATCCAGTGAGACTGCGTGTATCATACAGAACCATATCCAATGAGACTGCGTGTATCATAAAGAACCATATCCAGTGAGACTGCGTGTATCATACAGAACCATATCCAGTGAGACTGCGTGTATCATAAAGAACCATATCCAGTGAGACTGCGTGTATCATACAGAACCATATCCAGTGAGACTGCGTGTATCATAAAGAACCATATCCAGTGAGACTGCGTGTATCATAAAGAACCATATCCAGTGAGACTGTGTGTATCATACAGAACCATATCCAATGAGACTGTGTGTATCATACAGAACCATATCCAATGAGACTGTGTGTATCATACAGAACCATATCCAATGATACTGTGTGTATCATACAGAACCATATCCATTGAGACTGTGTGTATCATACAGAACCATATCCAATGAGACTGCGTGTATCATACAGAACCATATCCAATGAGACTGTGTGTATCATAAAGAACCATATCCAGTGAGACTGCGTGTATCATAAAGAACCATATCCAGTGAGACTGCGTGTATCATACAGAACCATATCCAATGAGACTGAGTGTATCATACAGAACCATATCCAATGAGACTGTGTGTATCATACAGAACCATATCCAATGAGACTGCGTGTATCATACAGAACCATATCCAATGAGACTGCGTGTATCATACAGAACCATATCCAATGAGACTGTGTGTATCATACAGAACCATATCCAATGAGACTGTGTGTATCATACAGAACCATATCCAGTGAGACTGCGTGTATCATAAAGAACCATATCCAATGAGACTGTGTGTATCATACAGAACCATATCCAATGAGACTGCGTGTATCATACAGAACCATATCCAATGAGACTGCGTGTATCATACAGAACCATATCCAATGAGACTGTGTGTATCATACAGAACCATATCCAATGAGACTGTGTGTATCATACAGAACCATATCCAATGAGACTGTGTGTATCATACAGAACCATATCCAATGAGACTGTGTGTATCATAAAGAACCATATCCAATGAGACTGTGTGTATCATACAGAACCATATCCAATGAGACTGTGTGTATCATAAAGAACCATATCCAGTGAGACTGCGTGTATCATAAAGAACCATATCCAGTGAGACTGCGTGTATCATACAGAACCATATCCAGTGAGACTGCGTGTATCATACAGATCCATATCCAATGAGACTGCGTGTATCATACAGAACCATATCCAATGAGACTGTGTGTATCATACAGAACCATATCCAATGAGACTGTGTGTATCATACAGAACCATATCCAATGAGACTGTGTGTATCATACAGAACCATATCCAATGAGACTGTGTGTATCATACAGAACCATACCGATTCTTACTGTTCCCCTTCACTCCTCACCTCAGCTCCATGTCGGCCATCTAGACTATTTTCATCTTTGGGGTCAAGCTAGACCCCCTAAGGCACTTAGCGTTCTTGTACTTTCATTCCTATCTCGCAAAGGGGAACCAAGCAAGTTCGTGAAGGAATCAGTGAAACCCGGTGCGGTACTCATAGCATCAGTAGTGGAGACAGCAGCGTTCCTCTGTCAGGGTGAACGCTCGGTCAGTGACCGCAGGCGTGTGGCCAGCATGCAGCTGTCCTCTCTCCCCCTGTGGCCGTGGGAGCCCCGCTGATGTCCCAGCACATCTGTATAGCTCAGAACCCGCACAACGCTGTGCCCCGGACAACCATTGCCAATCCTTGGGCCTGACATTCAAGTTACAATCTGCTTGACATCTTACCTGACACAGAGTAGAAACAACCTGTATACCTAAAGCTGAACCACGTGTACTTCATGTTCTTTGTGTACTAAAGGGTCTTAAGTTCATGTTGTACAGGCTTCTCATTTGACACGTGGGAAAACTAATACCCAGGTAAGTGAAACGACTTGCCCAGAGTCCTAATATCTGCGCTCATGGCACAGGGTCAGAAGTAGAAGCCAGGTGCTTGCATGCTATTTATTATGCCCCCAACCGCCCTCCTCCTACCTTTAATTTCCACTATAATTTTAAACC